TTTGTCATTATTACCTCCTGATGTTATGTTTGTATGCCTACATGTTATGTTTGTATGCCTACATGTTATGTTTGTATGCCTACATGTTATGTTTGTATGCCTACATGTTACGTTTGTATGCCTACATGTAAAATTTACTAATTATGGCCATTGCCTGTCACAGCTAAATTAGCGATGTCATCGTTGCACACGATTCGAGCTTCAATTGCGAACCTCCTGCGTAACGTAGTGAAAGATCTCTTTACGGTACTGGGCATATTTCTAATTATAACTGGTAAAGCAAGGTAAGTTACACTGGTAAGTTAGGTTTGTGGAAGTTTGCTTACGGATATGACGTGTGATTACCATAGGTGATAACACACGAACTGCAGTACGGATAACCAATAACGTTTTGGCAGCAATCATTTTCATATTGATATAAATATAGTTATCGTAGGCCTAGCCTGAATTAAGTGCCACCTACACGAGATCACTAGTGTAGTATATCTGCTCTTAATTGGTGAGATGTGTGTGCAGTCCTTATGTGCAATGCGAGATAATATGAAACACCATCGACAATCAATGATATACGTCGTTATACATATAATGATAGTTGCATAAACCGTCGGGTTTACAGGGTCAAATCACAATGTTACAAAGGGTGGCATGACAATATATATATACCGACTTACAATACTCAAGAAACAAAAGTACGAGATTTTGTATAACTATGGATTAGTCATGCGAGACGTTTATATAGAGATATAAGATCGTTTGTAGCAAGATAGATATAGTTAGAAAACACATCTCAATGCACTTCTAATATGCGGGTATGTATGCTTCTCGTTGTAATTTGCCAACGCATGCACAGTGCACAAGGTGACATCGCGAATAGTGTTATTAACTATATGTATGTAAGATGGGAATTTTTTTATATCACAAAAAAACCGATTCGCGTTAATGCTCTTATGCACTGTTAAGAACAGGGTATCCTATTCTGCATGCGATATGTCAATATCTTATTTACCATGATCTGAATTTGTTTACACGCATTATAACCCCCTATACTTGTCCGATTATTCTTGTAATATATTTTAGGCTTTTCTGAATAATAATGAGGCTTAAAGTAATAATAATAATAATAATAATAATAATAATAACAATACAACTAATAATAATAGTTATAATAATATTATTGTTTATCCTATTATTGTGTTGTACAAATTTTCATTGACTGGGATAGTATTGAATTGGATAGTGTTGATACATGCGCCAAACTTGAGGAAAACGACATGCCAAATAGTCTCTGCTTACTACACATGGAGTGACGATAGACACTACATACACACGCACGCACGCACGCACGCACGAACGCACGAACGCACGAAGCAACGCACGCACGCACGCACGCACGAACGCACGCATGAACGCACGCACGCACGCACGCACGAACGCACGCATGAACGCACGCACGTACGCATGCACGCACGAACGCACGCACGCACGCACGAAGCAACGCACGCATGAACGCACGTACACACGCCCGCACGAACGCACGCACGCACGCACGCACGCACGCACGCACGCACGCACGCACGCACGCGCGCGTGTTGATTTCGATGACGCATGATCGTTACCTTTGCGAGATCCACCAGCGTACTAGCATTGTCCATTAGTTTCCGCTGATCCATTTTCACCTTCCTTAAACTGAAAACAATGTTCAGCAGTGAATTTTACACGATGTCGGCAATGAATTAAAACGAATAAAAAATACTGATGGTATCCGTATAGGATACAAGATGTTCAGCGGGTGCGCGTTACGATTTTCCGCACCCGAATAAAATTGCACCACCGGGAGCCAGTCTGTAAATAAAACCGCAGGTAGATGGCGCTGTGTGCTAGCGGATGCTTGCCTCTACCGCAGCCGGCTGAAAGGTGCGATAGGATATGTTTACTAGGCACTTCTAATTTTAACATATATTTTACGATATATTAAAGAATGATGCAAAAACCCTAAAAAGTGCCCTAACCCTAACCCTAACCCTAACCCTGACCCTAATTAAATTTAAAATATATGCTAAAATTAGAAGTGCCTAGTAAACATATCCTATCGCACCTTTCAGCCGGCTGCGCCTCTACCCCGCTCCCATATTTTTACCATTGGCGCAATTAACAGTCACGTTACCCGTAAACCTCGTGCAAGAAATACCTCACACAATAAATACAAGCTGCGCGAAAGAAGGAATGGCTTCTCACAGATGTACAGATAGCGAGCGGATTTTCTCCCGCAGTGATGATATCACAGTGTTTATGCAGCAAATGCCTGATGCGGCCATGCATGCATGCATACAATTGCGTATCTGCAGGAAGCATTCAGGGGAGACTTCATCTCCCACTGCGATCAAGATAATCATGGAATGCTCAACGCACATATGTACAGCCCCGGGCGGGCGTGCATGTATGTGCGCGTGTGTGCGCGTGTGTGTGTGTGTGTGTGTGTGTGTGTGTGTGTGTGTGTGTGTGTGTGTGTGTGTGT